GTTTGAGCTGAGATTCAAATGCGAATAAATGAGTCAGAGCTTTGAATTTGCCCCCTCCCCTACAGACGGCTCTGTATGAAGATTCAATCAGAGACAGAATGTCTTAAAGGAAACAGTTTGTTACGCTACTTATTTGCACTTACCCAGTGCACCATAATGCAAAGCACTTGTGTTGTGGTATCCTGCAACACAGTTTGGTGGCATCTACCGTACTTGTGTGTTGGGGTGCCATGCTAAATAAAATGCACAACCTGCAACACAGAGCTCCCACAATGCACAGGTATAAAATCCAATTGTTTATTTTTTTAAGTTTTATAGCTTATAGTTTTTTTATATTTGGTAATTTTTTTTTAACTGATGTTTTATTTAGTTTTTTCTTTTAATATGTACAATATTACAATGCACCATGTTTGTTTTATAACTACATGCGTAGTTATAAAACAAATATTGCACGCAGTAAAAGAAAAATAGAAAATACAACATCAGATTTTTACAAACAAATAAACAATTGACCCAAAACCCAGCATAGCTTCTTTTAAATCTTGTATAAATGTATTTGCGCAAAAAAGCGAAACGCAGCTTAGAACTGCAATATTATATGGACAAAAGATACATCTGTAATCACCCGTAATGTACATTAACAGCAATGTAACAATTGTGAGCTCTCAGAGAAGTGGTGGGATACAAGAGGACGAGGCAGATCTATAATTTCACATGAAAAGCTGCCGTTTCTATGTAATCTGGCTGAATGTGTTAAATTGATATTAAAACGGGAGAAGACTGAGTGTCCTTATTGGGGATTCTGTTCTATTATCTGTGAAAAGCTTTCGCTCGGCTCTGCACATTCTCCCATAGACAATAACAGGGCTGAGCATTTCTGGCATAATTGAATAAGAGATAATGTGCCATATTACAGAGAACTAAGCTGAACGATCGAGGGGGAAAAAAAAAAGTCAAAAACATGAAGATGTGCCACTGAGAGTGAGGACTACTGGAAAATCCAAACTATAGTTATTGTCAGTAAGAAGAATGCATCTAGGTAATTATCATACCATTTATAAAGAAGCCATTTCTGATGTGACTTCCACATTTTTACTTGTCAATCAATACTTTCAATATGACATTTCTTCTTTTTTCAAGTTTATTTTTAAATTGATATTA